AATCCGACAATTATTTTTAAGACATTTTTATGTGGCCAAATCATTTTAAAGGCATGTCAGGCTATATGACATTTTCATATAGGATACAGGTTCGATTCCTGTCAGAGGATGAATATTTTCTATAAAAATTTCTCAGACATTCATGCTGGCAAATGTTGTTTAATACTGTTTATTATAAACAGAGCATTTACTTAAATATTTGTATCTATAAAAAGAATGTATAAACATAAAAATGTCTTTAAAATAATTGTCAGACTCTGTCCATTTCATTATATATATATATATATATATATATAGCAAATGAAGGCTGGAGAACACAACAACCAAAATGTTGTGATAACAACAACGAAGATAAGGACAATAGTCTGAATGTAAATAATGTAAATAAAAATTACTTAATTTTCAATTTAATTTTAAAAAATTTTAATTGATTTTTTTTATATAGATGTTCACGATGTATAGCTTGGTATCACTAGTAGTGAACTGTGGTTACAGGTATCACCAACAGTGAGCAGTAGCCATCAAAATCACTTATTTTTTTTTAAATCAAAGTGATAGTTATTTTGACTATGGATTTGTTATTTAAATATATTAACAAACACCTAACTAATGGGTTGTTCTCAGTTCCTCTCTTAATTTGTTGCAGCTCTATCCAATTTCTGTGTGGCTTTTGGATTTTTACCAAGTTACACATTCTTCAAATGTGTTTTGAGATTTCTTCCAAAAATTGGAAATATTGAAATATTTTGATGGTTTAAATAATTAGCATTTTTTTGTCTACTTTCACCAATTAGTTTTACATGAAATCTTCTGTATTGTCATTCTTTGTTTTGTGTTCTGAAATTATTAGAGAGAATATGAGATAAACAGGTGGACATATACAAATGATATAATGGCGATTTCCTGACTGATTGGGATTTATTTAAAGCTGGAAATGAATTAGTTTATTATCCAGGTTGAAATATAAATAAATAACTTACATTATTGAATTTCATATTTTTCTTTTTGTTTTTGTTTCATATTTCAGCTAGTCTTATACTTAGGCCTTACACAGGTAAAATTATCCAGCAGTCATGTTGTACTTATAATCTGGCCTGTAAGCAGAACAAGGCCATTAATGTTACAATGGACAAATTGATCGATTGAAAGTAAGAGAATACTCTAAATACATAGAAGCTCCAGATCAGATGTGGCAGCAATATTCAAAGCATGGATGAGTGGTATACTTATAAATATATAAGATAGATTCTGTTGGGGAAAATTGTCTAGCACAACAGAGTGAATCAACTTTCCTATCAATTCATTCAATAAAATCATTCCTTTTCATGTCAGTGGAAAACATTAGCCTGAGAAGTCACAAGGAGTTACTCACTTGGAGGTTAGCATCAGCTATGCTGATGGAAGGCAAAAAAGATTCCCTCAGTTGATTAAAAGAGAGCAGTTTTGTTTTGGATGTATTAAAATTAACAAGCCATTTCTTGCCCCAGTTAACAACAGATTGTAGGTCATTTTTGAGATCATTTAGATTAATGTACTCATCTTGTTATCACAACATTTTGATCATTGTTCCATCAGGCTGCCTTCAGGTGTCTGTCAAACTGGCTAACCTTCAGGGAATTTTGAACTGAACTCTTTATTTAATCTGCTGATCTAGATATAGGAATTCCACTTGAGGTAGTGTGAGAGTTTGAAGCCCAATATCCTCTTGAGGCATAGGGCCTCTTTGAGGAGACATCCCTTCATTGAACTGAACCCTTTATTTCGTCCACCAGGTTACATTGTTCTAGTTCCGTGACTTTTCTGGATATCTCAGTTTCAGTTATTTCCCTTTAGTAACTCAACTCTCCAAGTTTTTGTTTGCATTTGCTGTGGCCAGGTATTAAATTCCCAACTCTTTGGGTCATTACTGGATTACTTCAACCAACACTTTTATCCACTGGATAATGGATTAAAGTGTCAGTCTGTGAATTTGGTAACATAGTAATTGTGAGTTTAATCCCTGGATTTAGCAATGTGTACTTGGTCTCAATGGAAACAGTGATCATTACTAAAAATAAGCACTAAGCGAGATATCCCTAGACATGGACAGTGGAATGAGAACAGTCTATTTCTGTAGATTAAATAAAGGGTTCAGTTTAGAATTTCACTGTAAGTTACCAGGATAAACATACACCTGATGAAGGCCAGAGGTCACAGCTGAAACGTGATAAAAACAACAAAATGAGGACAATAGTCTGCATGTAAATAAAAAATATTTTCTCTTGACTTCATACCAATCATTTTTATAAAGTGATATATCCCTTTACATTATACATATAGCTGCATTATAAGGTTTAAAAACATTACCTTAAAGGAAACCTTTGACTAAAATTGTCATTGAAATATTGTGAAGGATGAGATACATTTGAAAAGAGGATTAGAGAAGAAATGCTTAGAGTGTAGAAATAAAATATTTAGAGTTTAGTTTGTTTTCCAAACTGAATCCAAACTTCTTTTTCTGAACTGAATCCAAACTTCTTAAAAGTAAAATGCTTTGTGATACATTAAGTTTTGTTAGTCAAGACAAATATATAATTCAAAATATATATAAAAAGAGATAATTTAATAAAATTTTTTTTTATATGGTTGGGTCATGAATAACTTCTGTTTTTGTTTATCAACTTCATTCTTCAAAAAATAAAACTCAATTACATTTTATTCAATTATATATTCACCATTATTTGCAATGACTTGTCACTTATTGGACAGCTCTTTGGTACCTTTTGAATAAAATTCTATAGGTTTTGATATGAAAACATTTTAACAAACTCTTAAAATCTAGTTTTCATTAGAGAAGAATTTTCCATCAGTGATTTGCAGCACTCAAAATGGGTAATAATCAGTTGGTGCAAGGTTTGGTGAATATGGTGGGTAGAGTAGAACAGACCAACAGAATTTCAAAATTTTTTTCTGTGTCATTCTTTCTGGATGTGGCTTTGCATTTTCCTGGAGAACACTTTTCCTGTTGACAAATGCAAGGCACTTTTATGGACATGTTGCAGCTGCTGTACTTATAAATGTGTAGTTGTGTTTTAAGAACTCAAAATGATAGCACCCCAATGATTCCACCACATGTAGAACATTATCTTTATTTCATGGAGCTCAGATTTTGGGTTTGGTTGTGAAGATTTATCCTTGTTAGTTCACTGCCTTTTGCATTGTACATCATCATATGTAACCTATTTTTTATCACTTGTTATGATATATATAAGAAACAGTTAGGATAATATAATAATAATTACAATTGGTTCCCAAAAATGGAAATTATTTTGCATAAAAATAAATTAGGTTCTCTGCAGTCAAGTAATTTTTTACACACTTAAAATGAGTCATAGAATGATCCACAAAGATTAAACAAAATCTTACCCATTTAAAATGACTCCCAAATAATTTATAACAAGATTATCTAGATTACAGGAAGTTTTATTTATGCCAGTCTCCTCAGTGAGATGAGATGTGACACAAGGTCAGATTTAACATGGAAAACCTGAGCACATACACTTGGGCCAAGGACGAAAATTGCCCAGCCTCTGCAACTGTTGTTTGTACTGACATCAGTATGACTACTGATTCCCCGTTGGGCAGCTGTTTCCCAGGATCAGCACCTAACAGGTTTTATTTTCTTCAGCTGCATCTGCAGACAGAGCCATGACTGAGTTGCATTCTGCCAAAAGACAAAGACGCAACTTAGTGATGATAATCCTCCCCCATTATGGGCTGCAGAAGTAAAGATTTTCTAAATGTATCTTAGATGTGGCATAAGGCCAAAAGTGTGGAAGATCCAGTGAGGATCGAACTTGTCATTTACTGTGACAAGCTTGTTAATCACTACACCATGTCAAAGTGTCCCTAGATTACAGGAAATCACTATAAATTGAAGATTTTCAATGTTCTGAAAACTTAAAGTAGTTATGTGAGTGTCATTTCATTTATTTAAATATTTCACTTATTTTAAATCATTATACATTGTTGAAGCTTAAATAAGCATGGAATAATACAACACAAAATGTACGTTAACAAAATGTATTGAAACAAAGAATAGGTACACAATATTTACAGTTAGTTTGGTATATTCTTGGGAAGACTGTTCCTGCATAATGGGTTGACTAAATCGCAGTCGGGCAGAGTCTCTGGATTCAATTTCTTAATCTCTATCTTCCCCGTCTTCCGGTACCAACCCATATTTATATGGTCGGTAGTCCGCTTATGTAAATTAGGTGTATCATACACAACATACATGAATAACATTATGTTTAATCTCAATTAAAACAGACATGTTAAAACAAGAGGAAAGTAACAAAAAAAAAGTTTGCATTATTGTAAAGTGATAATATTGATATGCAAAAATTTAATAAAAAAAAATCCAGCTTAGCCCTCCAGCTCACAGAGGGATAGCTGGTAGAATTTAATATAAATTGCCTCTGAAACCTTAAGAGGAAAATCAAAGTTAACCTTCCTCAGGACCAAGAATACTTGTTGCTTCTAGGATCAGATAGCGGTCATTCGACTAAAGTATAATTAGCCTTTGATGTTTATATATTTATATAAAATTTGATTTTTGGTGTTTTTCATTTTTACTTACTGTGCACATTTTACATCCTTGATTGATCTCTGATGGGGGAGGATCAGTAAACTGGTTAAGCTGATATTTTGTTAAATGATATTTTTATTTTGATATTACCAATTTACATGGTAATATAGACATTTTTAAAAAATGTTTTTGCATTACTTTTTACTATTCTTTACTCTTGTTTTAACACATTTTCTTTTAATCAAATGACATTTTGTACACCTTTTAAAATATTTATATATTTAATCTAAATTACTCTTCCTATTCAATCTTTTGTATATTTGTCAGATTTTTGCTTTTATAAATATATTTTAAAAGTACATTTTACAGATTGAATGAATTGATTGCTGGTTATGCAATGTTTGTTTTCTTTTTATACCATATACCTCAGAATGTCACACGTCAGGTATCTCTCTATGAACTACTCGGCCTTGAGCGACGAAGAGAAGTATGTTGTATACAATTGTGCCAACCAGAAAATTCTGATTTTAATTTTTCTGTGGAAACAACAGATCAAGGATATATTTTAGTTGATGATCCCAAAGATCTGGATTTAAACCATGGAGACAGGTATTTTGAAATCTTCTCTTTTTAATTGAATTTTTTAATGAAAATTGTTTGCTAATTCTTTACTGTATCTTTAAATATTGTCTGCAATTTTTTTTGTGTTATGATTGAATATTATATATTATTATATATTATTTAGATTATTTATTTATATATATATATATATATATATATATATATATATATATATATATATATATATATAGAGAGAGAGAGAAAATTCTACTTATAATATCTATTGATGAATTTTATAGGTAGATTTTGATGAATTATATATATAGTTATTGATGAATTTTTTTATATTTATAGAGATATTGATGAATTATATTTTGAATCTACATGGATTACTTACCCACAGATTGTTATATATATATTATTGAGGAATTATATATATATATATATAACAATCTGTAGGTAAGTAATTCAAGTAGATCCTATTAATATAAAATATTGAAAGTGATCCACAAAAGAGTTCAATATAATTTTTTTATAATGTTTTACTTGTCACATCTGGTGAAACAAGGTCAATCTGTTGGTATTTTTTATAATACTTACCTTCCTTTCATTATCTTACTCTCTTTCCTCCATCTCTCTCTCGCTAGACATATATATCTCCATCTCTTTCTCCCCCATTCTCTCTTTCCCTTCCCCCTTATTAAAACCTTATTTTAAAACATATTTTCCCATTTTACTGTTTCCCATCTATCTAAACAGATATTTCCATATCTTCCTCTCTCTTTCCCATCCTCTATATAAAAATTTTAAAATCTATATCTCACTTTTTGTTTGTTTTTTTTGCTTGTGCATGTAAAAAATTTAAATTCACTTATTGATCCAAAATTTTTTGGTCTGATTATATATATATATATATATATATATATATATATGTGAATTGTGTTCATATATAATATATATATGTGAATTGTGTTTATATATAATATATGTATATGAATTGTGTGCATATATATATATATATATGAATGAAAGGACAGTTCTAGTCATGACTTGAGTTTCACACACATGATCTTCAGCCAACTTGAATGAAAATGAAAGAAGGGAGGAATGGGCTTTATATAACCTGTGATCATTGGTAAGTGTTTTTTGCTCAGTCTAGGCTTTGATCGTTTTAAGTCTGCTTTCAAGTCTTTTTTCTCTTTTCAGTTTTGTTGTCTTAATTCAAGAATGTATCAGGATAAGAGTTTAGGTTTTGGCAAGCTGTCTGTTGGTTCCATGAATGGTTTTTTGTTTTTTTCTTTATATATATATATATATATATATATATATTATTAAAACTATCCTATTTTTTTATCTACTTGTTTTTTCTGTTTTTCTTTTAATGTTTTTTACTAAAAGATTTATTTTTTAATCAGACCCTGTTTTTATAGACTTATAAAGAAATAATTTTTCTTTGTTGATTTTTACCATTAGAAATTGCTAAATGAGACTATGGTTAATTTGGAAAATAAAAAAAAATTTCTTAAACTATAAGCAAAGATGCTAATTTGTGTCCACAGCACTGGCTATTTTTTTCCTTCATAGTGCCATGTAATGTGTTTGTGTATCAACATTTTCTAACAAAAAACAATCTTAAAACAAGATATAAAAACAACAACTCTAAGGATAGCTATATTGTTATAGTTATTTATACTATGTTAAATAATAAATTAGAATAGATGCACATGTGTCAGAGGCAATATGCAGAAAAGATATGCACTTCATGTTGCAATTAATGTATTAATGAAGAGTTTTTTCTGTGTATAAAATTGTCTAAATATTTTTTGGATGTGAATTCAAATTCCTTTTCAAAGTCCAAATGTGAACAATTGACAATTATATATGTAACCACAAGCCTAATGATAAAAAAGCAATTATTTTGCACAACAAATATTTATTTTTCATCATAATCTCCTTCTTTATCCATGCACTTAATGCAATGGTAATATTAGCCTTTTCCTTATAAGGAAACATTCAGCAATCATTGAATGAGCAGCCAGTACTAATTTTTCGAAATTTATAAAATCATTTTCTTAAAACAGTTTTACAGGAAAATAGATTTCTCCAGTTCAGTAGCTCTTTCCAGTATTGATAAGTGTTTCCTTCCTAACTATTTATTTGAAGTAGTGTGGAATATCAACATCTTGATTATGTCATTATTTTCTCTTCAAGTTGCATGTGCTATTCATTTTAGTTATTGCTGCTGTTGGTAGTCTTCAAGTGATGTGGTTTCTGTTATTTGGTACAATTCTTTGTAAATCTGTAGGATCAGTCCACAATGTTCAAAGAAGGCTGAAGACCTTCAGGCTTCACTTGCACAAAGCCTTTTTTAACCATTGATCTTAGAATGCGGTTGTTTGTATCTCACTGTTTAGATATTTCTACACGGGTTTGGTGCCTTCATACTTCCTCATTAATAAGATAATTGAACATTATACAATGAAAGCCTCACATAAAGATTCAGCTAATAACTGTGCCAGGCTACAAACTTATTGATCCACTCATGTACAATTGCTTTAAGTTTTTGTAAAAACTGTCAAAAGAGATTTTTCATATAGACCTTTTATTTTTAATCCCATGTCCCTTCAGGATGTAGTTAATCATTGCTCTCCACAGATTCCTTTTCTTATTTTTGAACTACCATAACTTCTTTGGAAAAAGAGTGGTGGTGCTTTCCCACTGATTTCTCTATAGTTTTGCATTGAAAGTTGTTTTGAAGAAATATGACAAATGGAAAACCATTTCATTGAAACCAGATTTATGCATTTCGTCTTTTCTAGACTTTATCAGATTAAAAAAAAAAAAATGAAAAAAATATTTGTGTATGCTTAAATAATAAATCATTAGTACTTTTCTTTCATCATGAAAAATACCAGCTTAGTAGAAAAAGTACTAATGATTTATTATTTAAGCATGCACACAGATACATATACATATATTTCTTTTTGTTTTTTTCATCTGATGAAGACTAGAAAAGTTGAAATGTGTAATCAAATCTATTTTCAATAAAACCGTTTTCCATTCAGTGTTGTTATTCTCTTAAGGTGGGTGCTAACTCAAGACTACAGTACCCAGTCTACCTTGCTATTTAACCCATAACTGGTGTGAGAAAAGATTGATTCATGATTTTTCCAATGGCATTAAAGTGAATGTAACACTTGGTAGGAATTCCACTTTCTACATTAGTAGCCATTATACTACTTGTATGGCCCACTTAGATAGTCAACTAATAATAATTTTTTTGTGTATATAAATAAATATTAAAATGACTATTTCTTTTTTATTTTCTTTTACATTGATTGCATTTTAGGATCCTGGAAGTGAATGGTGTTTATATTTGCAATGAAAATGACTTGAAGAAGGCAATCAAACATTCTACTTGTCTCAATATGGTTGTGGTACGTTCTGAGAAAAATACTACAGTGGCTGAAAGTTCTCTGAATCAACCCCAGATAAATGAAACCCCACCGTAAGGAGCTAATTTTACATTTTACAATTTTATTAGATTAGAATTTATAACAGTAATTGGAAGATTTTAAAAATGAGAACAAGCTGATACCTGAAACCACTAAAATTAATTTTCCTAAATTTACTTAACTTTGTTTTCTATATTTTTATTATATTGGTCACTAATTATTTTCAGTCACTATTTCAACCACTACTCTCTTTTTCTTTATACACACACACACTTTGTTTAACTCTTTAGCATTCAACTGACCCCGTAAATAATAGCTCTCAATATTCAACCCACCCCATGTATACTCTGCTATAATATATGGCAACATCATCACAAATAACACAAAGTCATGCTAACAGTGAGACTTTGAAAGTTGATATTTATGTTGTGGGTTTGAGCATGCTGAATGCTAAAGTGTTAATCTATAATATACTTTATTTTTATATATATAAAAAAATTCTCTGTGCCTTATTCTGTTGACAATTTCTAAAAGATTCATTTGTTTTTCATGAACATTTTTCAAAATTCCTATGACAAAGCCTTTAAATACATTTTTGTATTTTGATAATTTTTAATCTTGAGATTGTAATTAAAACCAGTCCCAATTCTCTATAAATGAATTTTGTTGAATTAATATTTTGCTTTTGCTCTTTTATATTTATAATTTGTTTCTTCTATTAAAATGTTAATTATAATTATTAAGATAATTTCTTTTACCATGGTCATACTGAGTGGCCTTTGTGTGCGTTTTTATACACACACACACACATATAACAAAGTTATTTCATAGGAATTACTGGATGTTTTAATGCATTATTTATTACTATAAAGATTATATTTAATGGATATACATTTTATTAAACATTGAAATTGATGTCTACTGGGCAATTAAAAGACTTGAGGTACATTTTCTTTATTAAAACTTTCAATTGCCCATGCTGATATTAATTACATTTTTTAATAAAAACAGGGATATCTACTTGAACATTTATATCTACTTAATATAGCATTGATGATAAAAATAAGAAATATATACACACATTTTGAAATTTTATTTGTCAATATATTTATAATCCCTGTTGTGAATAATCTAAATGGTGTTTCATTAAGACGGATTATATATAAGGGTGTTTCATTAAGACGGATCAAAGTCAACAGTATATAAATCAATGTTATTGGTGAAAATTTATTTATTTCTCTGTTGGATCATGTTATTTAAGTCATGATAATTATATGTCAAAAATAATATCGCCCAAATTTCCGCCAAATATGAAAGAAAAAGAAAAAGTCTATAGATGGTTAAACTTAATTCATATTTAAAATCGGTCTAAGTTATTGGAACACTCTTTACAAATAATGGTTTTAAAAAAATTGTAAAGAAACTTCTGATAATTTGTTCTTACAAATGTTTACTGTAAATTCAATAAAATATACAAGCTTTTAAAAGTAGAAAAGAGCTTGAGAGAAAAAGGAATAATTGAAAAATATAAAATTCAAGGAATAATTTTTTATATGGGGAGCCAATTGTTACTACTCAGATGGGGAAAAAATTTTCAAAAAGATATATATTGTACAAATGAAGGTTATAAACATTTTGGGACCAAATGCATGGTTGTTAGCAAAAGGAACAACCCAAAATGTAAATTACAATTTGGAAATACCAAAATCAAACAAGTACAATTTAAATATATGGGAAGTGTTTTAACAGAGGACAGAAAGTGATACATTGAAATCTGAAGATGCATTGGAGTCACAAAAGATGCCTTCCAAAAGCTCAGGAAAGTATTAAGAAACAGGAAAATTTTCATTTTGATTTGATATTCACATGACAGATTGAAGGCAAGAGAAATGGAGGAAAATAATGCATAACCTATCTAGTGAACTTGAGCCAATAGATGGTGGAACAAGGATAAGGAGAGATAACAAAAAGACAAAATTTTTTAAGAGCCACAAAGGACAGGAAAATGTGGATAGCTATGATCACCAATGTCCTGAAGGGACATGACAGAAAAGGAACACATTATCAGAAATTTTTACTCGGTTTAAAAAACCTTATTTGAAACACCTTTGTTTGCTAAAGGTACTTGATATATTGGCAATATTTGTTCTTTGGGTATCAGCGTAATTGAATGTCTTTACATCTGCATAAGGATGGTTGTACTTTCTTTTTATGTGCCATGTCCTTTCAGGACATAGGCGATCATGGCTCTCCACCTCCTTCTATCCCTTGCAGCTCTCAACAAGTTCCTTCCCTCTGCTTCCTTCCCAAGACCATGTTCTGTCATCTACTTGCTTAAGCTCCCCCCCACTATGTCAAGCATTGTTTTCCCTTGTCTCTCTTTCCCTCTATTCAACCCATGAGTATCAGATTCTCCAGGCCCTCCTTCCTCATTATGTGCTCCAGAAACTTCAGCTGCCTCTTTCTGAGATTAAGTATAAGCCTCCTCCTTGTTTGCATCCTCTCTAAGACCTCATTGTTGCTCACACGCTCGGTCCATGATATCCTTAGCATCCTTCTGTAGAACCACATCTCCATCGCTTAGAGTCTCTTCTTCATCTTTGAAGAAATCGTCCAACATTTGCTGCCATAAAGAAGGACAAATGTCATGTAACAGCTCAGTATTCTTTTCTTTGTTACCAAAGAAATCTTCCTGTCTTGCAATACTTTGCCCAGCATTTGGAATGCGTCTTTGGCCATCCCAATATGTCTACGGATCTCGGTGTCGCATTTACCGTCCTCTGTCAAAATGCTTCCTAGACTCAAGGATATAATTTATTCACTGTTTTTAGCTTCAGAAACACAGGATCGTTTTATACTCAAGTTGTATTATACATAAGAAAATACAGTATATAAAAAGTATACTATCTTCAAAAGTTTATTTTGAAATGAAAACTGACACTTTTGTACTACTAAGTTATATTAAAGAAATACTTTTTTTTTTCTTTTTTTTTTTTTAAGAGAAAGTAAGAATCTGAAGAACCAGGTCTGTGAGTTGCGATCAAAGGTAAGTTGAGATTTTGTATGTATAAGAAAAGACATCTACTTCTGGCTATTCTTATATTATTTTTTTAAATTAATTTATTGGTAATGTAAATTAAATTTTTATTTTTATTATTTTAATTACAGGTGTCTGCATGCAAAAAGTTTGTCAGTATAATTTTAACCTGATAGAAAAGAATGATACAACATTTTTATTTCTCTTCATTAAATAAACAACAATTTTTTGCCTGTGGGCTTTTAAATCTTTCTTTTTTTTTTTTTTTTCATAGACCTTTCTTGTTTTACAGATTTTTTTGTGCAGATTGCTGCAGTCATATTAGTTTACTTGACTTTGGCATTTTTACAGGCCTAAATTGATTTCTTTTACTGTGTTTTATTTTGTTAAATGCATGAACTTTGAATTTTTCTTCAATACCTAGGGAAGAAAATTATTTTTAACCTCCCATAATCTTACTCTAATCCTTGAGTGAAATTGTTGGTTCTGGAAGAAGTGATAATAAAAATTTTCCTCATTTATATTTTGCAATGTGGTAGATATTTTTGCAATGTGAATTCTGTCAAAGAATTTAATAAAATATACTTACAACAATACTTATATTGAACAGTTTTGGCCCAATTTGTAAAATTACATAATCAATGTTTGATGTGAAGTAATTGGTTTGATTGTTATATTTGTCCACAAGCAGTAAGCTATTTGGTATACAATGACTTTCTACTAATTTGAAATCCGAATGTAATATAAATACTTCTAAACCTTATATATATATATATATATATATATATATATATATATATATATATATGGAGAGAGATTGTATATTTGGGCAGCAATCTTTCTTTTGTACATGTTTCATTAGATATGACCAACAAGGAATATTTTGTAAGTTTCTCATTTAATTTTTCTTGATTCTCATATGAATGAGGTCAAAATGTCTTGACTGTGTTCAGAAACTAAACAAAACTTCCACATAGAAATGCCTCTCACATAACATGGTATAGGAAGCAAAAATTAAAAATATATTAACAATCATCTTTACCATGAAAATTAACTTCCTCCTCTCGTTGAAAATGCCTAAACTATTATCCAAAAGTAGATATTTACTTGACCCCCCACTGAGTCAGGTTGTGACACAAGGTCAGTTTTTAACGTGGGGACCCGAATGTTTTTACTCAGGCCGCTGGTCCAAGCTGGTCTTGGCATGTCCTAGCTGGTCCAGGTCGGAGCCGGTCCAAGTTAGTCCTAGCCCTGATACCACCAGCTCAGGGACGAGCCCTGTGCCAGGTAAGTATTTGACAGATCATACTTGAAAGTATGAGCTGTCACTATTATCAAAAGTATTTGGGAAAATAAACACTATGGACAATTTCTCCACACACTCCATCTTCAAAACAGAAAAGTCTGAGCACACAAGAAAATTAAAAAAACTTACAAAATTTTCCTTGTCTGTCACAAAACCTACACACACACACACACACACACACACACACATATATATATATATATATATATATATATATATATATATATATATAAAATAAAAGTATAGTTTTAAGGTATGTTATATTTATGGGTAAAAGTGATCAATATCAGGAATAGCGTGTATGTAAATATAAAAGTAGACAAAGGTCAACACTGAGCAGTGAGAGTCTGTTTTATGCTTGAACACAATCTTTGTGGCCTGAAGATTGCATGAAATGGATTGTTGCTGATTGGTGTTGACCTCAGTGTCCACTTAAATACACATACTCTTATGTTAATATAAGATATTTTCTTATATGGAAATTTTATTTTATTTGATATTTCAACTTTTTATCAAGATTTGACTAAATTTTTTTAAAGAATTTTATTACATGGTTTTAAATATATCTTTTATTTTCTTTATTACAATATTGTTTGAAATACTTTTGTTTATTTAAGTGTCTACAAGTTTTTAATTTTTTCTATTCATTTGCATCTTTTGTTATGTGTTTTTTTAATTAATGAAGTTTTACTTTAAAATTTATATTCACTTCAGAAATATTAATTTATCATAATTTTGTGCAAAATGAATATTGTTCAGCATTGTTACTTCTGAAATTACTATACAGAAACTTTATCTGTTTTTGCCATTGTTATTAACAAACTAACATCTACTCAATTGTATTACAATGAGAATAAAGATTTGATATCTTAAAATTGTAATTTTTAAAATGTATCTCTTGACATGGAATAATATTTCTTAGCATTTTATTTTTAATTATTTTTAGTCTATATTTAAAAATATTAAAATAAATATGATTAAATTGTATAAATTTACTTTTTTTTTTATATACAAATTTGATGAGTATTTGAAAAGAGCTAAAACAAGCTCATGTCATTTTGTCGATATTAAGTTTATTTTTTCCTATCATTTATTTATCTTGGTTAATTATTTTCTCTTTTAATTTATGATTTACTTTAATTGTAACTTGTTGATAGGCCATCTCAGTTGCATGCAATTCATAAACTAATAGTTAATTGAAAACTGGTGACTAGGGATAGTACTTTCTATTGGAAAAGCCACTATGAAATTTGTACTACATACTAGGTGGGTATATGGTGAGACAGTCATTGTGGGGTTGAGGAATAAAGCTCTTCAAGCAGATCAATATGCCTTCATTCTTTTAGAGTTAATTCATTTCACTGTAATCAAAGCCATTTCTTCCTTTTCTTAATTTATTTTAATATAAGAATTAAATAGTTTAGTTTTGTATAGTTTACTATTTTTCAAAATATTGATAGTGATTATTTTAGTTTCCATTTAAGTATCTTAATAAAAAGTGGAACTTTTGGAGCAGACAAAAACAATCAATCAATATGGTCATAAACGAAATAAACTTCTTGATATTCATGGCCTTCATTATGTGCATTAAGAGCATCATGCCCAAAAAACAAAATAACAGTCTACAAATGGATTAACACTTATGCCTATGATTAGAGTATCTGTGCACTGTGTCTAAGATCAGAGTGTTGCTCCTTGTCTCATTTCAAATATCAGTGTAGTATCTGTGCTCACTGCTTAGAATCAAAGTGTTGCTCCCTGGCACTTCTGCCTAAGATTAACATAGTGTCTGTATGCTCTGCCTAGTATCAGTGTAGTGTCTGTACCCTTTAAGTGTTATATATACACCAATATATTGGGTGGGTCATGAATAATTTCCATTTTTGTTATTCTTCAAAAAAATAAAGTACACTTAAACTCAGTTGAATAATTGGCCAAGGTTAAGTGCAATTGACAAAAATCTCAACATGTGGAATTGACAAAGTTCTCAATGAAAAAAGAAAAGGAAGAAAAAAGAACAGGACAAAATAATACTAAGTAAACAATGTATATGCAAGTAAAAACTAGGTAAACCAACAATAATAATGCAAAAGTTCACAAAGAATTTTATTCACGTGCAAAAGGGATACAGTCAAGTAGTTATAGCGTTCTTACTTGAAGACAAGAAAGAACAAAAATATGGGGAATGAGACCAAGAATTGTCCATTTTTATTGGTTAGTAAGAAATCCCAACATGCATCTGTAGGATTTGTCTATAAATTTGGGGAGAGGATGTTCTTAGCAGTCATTCCCAGACTATTGGAGCCAAGATATTCAATTCTATATTCACCATTTGCAATGATTTGTTGCCACTTATCAGGCAATTCTCTATTAACTTTTGAGTAAAATTCTACAGATTTTGATGTAAAAAAAGTTTTTCATTAACTCTTGAATCTGGCTTTCATTAGAGAATTTGCCCTATCAAAGAGTTTGGCATGAAATTATTAATGATTCAAATTAATCTTCTATATATATGGATTATTTAATTTTTTTAGTTTTGTATGCAGTTATAACTTTTTTTTTTTTTTTTTTTAGAAGGCTATTTTTTTCTGATTTTTATTGTTGCATTTATTTTGGGAATTTATCTTGGTATTCTAAATTTTATTTTATTTTTCACTCTTTCTTTTCTCCCTTTTTTTTTTGTGAAAAAAAAAGTTTATAGTTTAATATCTCAACTGTTACTGTCACATTTGCATTTAAAATAATTTTGATTACTATTGCCATCATTAAATGAAATAAATGGTGATCCTGCAATGACTTACATGCTGCATCATATAAAAACAATAAGTATTTCATGTCAACAGAATGGCAATAAAGGACCTATTAACACATGTTTGTTCAAAGCCAGATTTATAATGTGCTCAATTATGATCAATTTAAATCATCACTGTAGCAATGGCTTCAAAAACAAACTTACCTAATGATAGTCATTTATCTACATCATATTAGTAGATAAAATTCAGTTACATGATCCCTTATATTTGATTTCATAGTTATGTGATTTTATACATATAGCTTGAAATTCTCAAATAGTCCAACAGACATCCCTTTATTCTTAATAATGATTTATTGTAATATCTCAATTTCTTTTAATGAATTATATATATATATATATATATATATATATAATCACACACACTGTGCCAAAATGTTTGAGCAACCCTCTGAATTTTGAAGAATCTGTTAAAAATTGAAGGTTGCGTGCCTTTTTCAAAACTAATTTATTAGCTCATTCTGAGCCAAAGAGATTTTCTCTTCCTGAAGGATTTTATCATGTATTTAGTAAGAATAACAAAATTAAACCATTACTACATAAAGTTTCCTTAAAATTTTAGCTCTTTTTGTCTAATCTACCTTGCTGGTTAATGGTAATCTTTAGGCTGGTGGATTTCAAATGTGAGGTAACCCTCTTACAAAAAAATTGGATACCATGCACTAATTGGTTAAATAGTTTCAGCATCCTAGTTTAGTAGGAGTTAATTAAACCAAAGAAGGTATGAAACTTATTAATTACAGAGAGTGGTCCCAAAACACTTGGCCTATAGTGTATAAATTTAAATGCCTTTTTGTTGGTTTTCAAGAGGTAATTTAAAAACAAGTCAATATCTATCTGAGCAGTATAATTTATAACTATTTTAAATTTTTTATGGACAGTTGTGATGAAGAGATACTTTATTTGTTCTTTTTTCTCCTTTAATTTTTCAAAATGAACTACTGGCCAAGGGTAACTTTTCATATCCTCTTAAAATCATTTACTTTTATGCTTTTTTTTCATAGATAAATGTATCTCCACTTTATTTTTTATCTTTATATAAAAAGAAGTTTATGCCTTTGGATAAGCATAGATAACTCTTAAAGAATTCAAAATCAATTGTATTGTATTCATGGAATTCTTTACAAAAGTCTATCTCATATCTTGTCATTCCACTTGGAGTGAAGTTTTTTTTAGTTTGGGTTTTGTGGTAGTTTGTCGTCAGCTTAAGAAATTTAAAGAAAAAAGTAGAGATTAAGAGCATAATTAATTTGGCTTGAAAAATTAATCCTCTTTATCTTACCATATTTTTTTCTTTACTAAAGTCTTATTACAATTAATATATAATTTGGTGGAGCTTCAGACTTATCACTTCCCACCCCAAAAATGTATGAAATGTTATATGTATTTTAGTCTTTGGCTTATTCATGTTAAAACAGTTTTAATGAAACAAAAACTATACTGGAACTATGAATTCTGAAGTAAAAATATTACATGTAAAAAATAAACATGAAAGTAATTTTTTCATTTTATTATGCTAACTTATTTTGTTATAAATATACTTTTTTATGATCCATATTAATATATAGTTTCAAGCTGCCAAAATAAGACTACAATAAACTCATTTACTTTATGCAGCTGAGTTTAGTGTGTAATTCAGTAGAAGTCATTTAAAATAAAAATAAAATACAGTTGGGGATATATGCATTGTTTAATATGTAAATTACTATATATATATATATATATATATATATATATATATATATATATATATATATATGTTTATTTAAAAAATATGATTCCAATGCTACATAAGAGTTCTCATGTTTCAAAACAAGAGCCAAAAACTTCAATATAATTATTTGAATTAAAGTAAAGTACCAAGCTCTGTTCCATCTTCAAGCGAAATTTTTTTTTTTTTTTTTTTTTTTTTGAATAACTAATTCCTGAAATTTACATGTTTTATAAGCATATTCATTATTAAATTACTATGGTAACAGCTAGAGCAATTATTTAAAGAAAAGGGGTGTAAGGGTTAATAATTTGTATCAATATCTCCATTAAATTCAAAGACGTCAAGTCAGGGTAAGGTTGGGGTGTCTATGGAGATTTATTTATTTTTTTATTTTATTTTTTATTTTTTTCTGAAAGTGTGTATATAATTGAGTGCTAGTGTTAAGAAAATAGTGCTCAATGCAATATAACACAGCTATAAACTATATATTAATAAATATACATCTTTTTCCCACCAGTAACACAACTAAGGTTCCTGAATTAAGCCGGTCTCAATTCAGCACTTGAAGATTATGCTGTGCATGAAACTCTAAATGGTACTAGTGAGGAAAATTATATATATATATATATATATATATATAAATGGTTATTTAATGCCAAAATCTAAATATTTTGTAGGCAATTTTAATTTTTGGGGAGATAATGGTTTTAGTGATACAACTTTTACTAATTAACCCATATATGGAGAGAGAAGAGGTGAATTCATACTTTTCCCAAGGGTATTTGTGCATAAGTGAATATAACAAACTTGACTAGAATTGAATCTCAGCTCTCCAATTAACAATTCTGAGCCATTATCCATTACACTACTTGCATATCCAAGCTTACAGCATCTGGTATTCCCAAATGGTCACCCATCTGGGTACTGACCAGGCTTGATGCTACTTAACTTTGGTGATCATATGGGAACTGGTGTTTCAACATCATTGGTGTGACCAAAAGACAAGAAAAATATCTCAAACAAGTAGATAAAAAAAAAGACAAAAGCACAAAAGGCAACCACCTATCAATGCAGTAAATTAAAGTTTTCAACACCTAGACTCTATATAGTGTGTGTTGATATATATATATATATACATACACACAACACAGTGGATTGATTGCAGCTCTGTGTGCTTTCATCAACCAGTAGCTATGGTTCTATGTTTTCAAATGTTTCACCCAACACTGTAAATTGCTACAAAACCAAAACATTAGCCTAAAAACTTGTGTTCTTAAATAGCCTCATCAGAATAAAACTTTCATATGAATGCCATGCATGGAGCCAAACTAGTTCAAAAATATCTACATTGTCAAATTCCTTGTATACAACTGCTTACTCAGAACTAGAGTTCATATTGAATGAACAACATTCATGTACATCTGCTAAGAGCTGAAGATATACCTCAATGCCCCATTGAAATCATACATTGATAGTTATGCACATTCTGATTGAATGTAAAAGCTATCAGCTTAAACATAGTAAATACTACAATATCACGAATATAAAAACACTCTTTAAAGATGCTACCCCTGGCTAAGTAAAAGGGTTTCTAAAAGAAATAGGAATTTTTGGACACAGTGTTGACACAGCATTAAACAAAATCTAGCCAAACCTATAGTAAGAGGAAAATTATACTAAGGAAAACTATCTTTTACTTGATTAAATTATAATTCATTTATGGCATTTTCATGTTGAATTTAGCAATTTTTAAATGAAACTGAAGTCCATATAAGTAAATTAAAAAAAAAAAAAAAACAGCATCCAACTAGTAATGTCATCCCAAATTTCCAGGAACTGGTTCTATAAAGGCAGGTAATCTTTAGGAACCTATTGTGATTATTTTCTTTTCAATCTCAGAATAGAAAGAAATTACTTTATAGTATCAAAAAGTATTAAACCATTTTGATAATTTAATAGAAAACATTTATTTATTTGGATATTTCCAGATTGAAATTCTGTTCTCATCATATTTCTGTTCAGAAGTATGATGCGTTTTGTCATCAGCTGTATTATGGTTTCCGCTGCAATCCCAAAGATCCAATCGAAGACCTATCAAATATATGACTAGAAGATTTGCCACATTTTTAACTTCAAGACTATTTCTTTTGTAAGAATGAATTATGTTCATCACTGCAAACCCTCTTTCAGTCTCCACTGCTTACAGGCATGATATTAATACCTTTAGCTCTTATATATTGGTTATTAATATATAAGATTATTTTTGGATAATCCAACAACCAGTTCACTAAGCTTTTATAATTTTAAGAATTGGTTTGCATGAACTGGTAGGATGTCAGCACTACATCCAATCAATCACTGGTCTACAAGTGTAGTTAAATTGGGAGTAACTGAAGTAAAGTACATTAATTATCATTATAAATTGGAAAAGCAAGATAAAATTTATAAAATTTAATGATAGAAAAAGTAATTCAAACAAGTCTTCTGAAAAGTAACTCCCACAAGGATATCTTAAAAAAACAAACAGTACAAACATACTTAAACAAAATTATACACCACAATCAATAAAAGAACAGAAATTAAGAAGACAAGATAACAATTGACATTGCATTTAAATTTTTGAACATTAAACTTGACTGGAATCTAAGAAGCCAGAAGAGTTCCACAAGTGAGTAGTGTGAGGAAAGAAACTGTTAGCATAGAAATTATGGTTGCATCTAGTCATTTTGACTGTAAAATGAGATCTTGCCACCCAATCTAGTAATGAGCTTAAATTCATAGAGTCTAGGTACCAAAGAGGAGGTATTTTAAGAATTTTAGTATTGATCTCTATTCCCAGTTCTATATTCAAATTTCTGTTGGTTGTTTTTTTTCGTTAGCTTAAAATCAATATTATTAGAAATATAAATGAAGGTAAATACAGGTGAAAAATTACCTTTCTTGGTTGAGTAAAATTAATGTTGTTTCCCTTAAAAATGGAATTTTTCAGTAACATTCAAAACAACATGTTCCTAATGTACTGGAAAAAAGTGACTTTACATTATTTTTAGTGTCATTTCATAGCAGAAAAGATATGTGCTTTATATCTTATTGATTTTTGAGTAGCTTTGAAGTTATAGCATGTAAATTGATATGGATACCCATTTTTTATAAAAATATTAACTAAAAACTTGCATGAAAATCTTTCAACTTTAATAAATTTATTATAATTATGCTTGGTTGTTTTTTTGATTTTGGTTTTCTTTTTTGGCATTCATGATGACTTTGTTTTAACCCTTTCCAGACTGAACTTGTTTATAAATTTTACTAGTTACCCAAATATATTCTGATAGGATTATGTTCAAGCTATATGTTAGAGATATTTACATTCATGAAGTTTTTATCATTTCATGGAAGCCAAATAGCTAAAAAATATAAAATAATTGTAAATATATACAATTTGACCTACTGCCAATGCTACTGAAGTCAGTCATCATTGAAACTAACATTTATCTATTTTTACTTACTTTAAACTCTATAACAGGCAAGAATGACCTATTAGACAACTTTCAATATTTATAAGTCTTTACCTGGTTGTCATAATATCAGAATTGATAATTTCTCAAAGAAATATCATAAAATAAATAACTAGTTTTAAAGCACATCACTGTTGCATCATGTCTGTCACTAGAGTGTTTTGATTAGAAGGATCATGGCCTTTAAGTCAGTGGAGCTGTAAGTAACAACTTACATACTAAAAGTAGTTCACATCTCTTGGACCTGCACTATATACAACAATTATTATTAGACTTAGTTGTAAGCAAATGCATATGTTTGGTTGGGTAGATTTAGTAAATCTATCTGGAAAGGGTTGACTTGTTGAGTTAAATTCCCCTTAAATTCAAGGAACACTATTTGTTAAGCAGAAATTAGGAAACATTTGCTTATTATAGTCACATTTACATAATAGAAATAATCTTGTAAAATATTCTAAGCAATTTAATTAGTTTGAGAAAATTCTCATGGCATTCTGAAAAAAGTAAATCCTTTTAAGAATTGGACCACAAATTCCTTTTTAAAAAATAAAAAAAAAAAATACAGAAGAAATACAATGGCAATTCTAAAATCATAATTAAAATGGTTGGAGGTGAGTGCTTCATTTCAGATCAGATGGCATATATTTTAAAATGTAAAGAAAATTATAATATATATATATATATATATATATATATATATATATATATATATATATATATATATACACAGCACATACAAGGTCTGAAAAAAATATGACTGGTGCTATAAAAAGAAAACTACAACATATCAATTCAGCATTTAATCTCCTCTGAAGTAGTCCTCTTCTGAAGCCACACACTGTATTCAGCATCATTTCCATTGATGGATGCATTCTTGGAAATCCTTTTTTGGGATGGCAAGCAGCTGCCTCATTGCATTCTCTTGGATTCCCTGATGTTTTAAAATTTTGTTCCTTTTAAAAAGAAATTGATTTTTGGAAAGACGAAAAAGTTTTAAGGGAATATAACGGTTGTCAGACTGGGGGGAATGTTGTTCCTAGCCAAAAACTGCTGCACAAGCCATGGGCACTGATGGGACCTCTGTGGTGTAGTGAGATGATTACACTACACACTTTCTTTCTAAATACTGCTATAAATAACAGAAGTGAGTAAGAATTTTGTAACACTGTGTATGTTTGACCGAGTTCAAGGTCAACCTGTGCCAAATGGCTTCACTTGGCATATTTTAGCTCTGTTACCATAGCAACAGTTCCAATACTTTTTGATCAGACCTTGTGTATATGTACACACACATTTTAAACATAAGTTAAAATATGCTTGTTTTGATTTTTTGGGGCTTTTTTTTTTTTTTAGCTTTTTTTTAATAATAATAATAAAATTTATTTTAACTACTTTTTAGGATATTTTTCCACTAGTCTAATTAGTAAAATGTCTTATTTTATTCTTAAAGATAATTTTTTTCCAATATATTTCTATAGATGAAGTCTGGTTATTAGAAAAATGTTTTATTCTTAAAGATAATTTATTTTATTTATCTAATTACAGATAATTAATTTCCATCAATAGCAAATGAAAAATTCTCATTATTTTAATTTTTATATTTTTTGGTAGCAATTTTTTTTGTTCACATTTTTTTATAAATATGAACCAAATGACCTCTATTTCTCTTGTGCCTCTATAGGTTTAATTCTCTGACTCTTGATGATAAGTTCTGCTTTTTCTTTTTCCTCTTTCCTGCTTCGTCTGTTGGTGCAGAACGAACTGGATGTCAACGGTGGACATAGCCAACCAGGTGGCTTCTTTCATGGCCCCTCCCCACTTCTGAAATATTCCCCTACAGAGGTGACTGTCAGTGGTGTGGGAACTGTGACCCGCACAAGCACCTCTACATCTTCCTCCCCTTCCCACAGTCAAAACCAACATCCCACAGCTCCAGCTCCTGTGGTGACAGCAACACTACATCTGTCCAAAACCCCTTCTCCTTGTTCTACAGCTGTGGTAAGCATATTTTTCTGCTAGTGTCCCCTCCACTATATGTTGCTTATTGCCAACATCACCATTTCAGCTTTTAATTATGCCCTGTCCTTTTTGTAGCTGGCTGGTATTTACACTACCATATCCTGTCTACAACCTTGGACATCCCTCAAACTAGAAGTACCCATCACCTTCATATTGAATATATTTCCTGGGCAGTATTTCTACTGCCTTATTCTTGACTATTTTAAGTCAGTTTGGTCATTATTCCACAAATAGGACCAACTTTGGGAAAAGCCTCTTTGGTTGCAATACTAAGGCTGTTCCATGATAACTTACAATTTCAAATTTACATTTGATCCAAAATCATCTTAATAAAAAACCCCAACTTAAATAACACTGAAGAAGATATGAACTCAAAATGAAAAGTTTATTAAATCAGTAATTGTTTTAAAATTCTTGTATATGCATGTCTATTAAAATTATAAAAGCATTAATGCAGCCATCT